ATTGCTCCCTTCAAATTAGTGTGATGGCATAGTCTAACCAAAGTAGTATTTTTACAAAAGATGTTCATTCAAGTTACTAGCATATGCTACGCATTTTAATATAGCAAAGTCTAAATTTACTAGCTTGAAAAAAATTGAAAGCTCATAATGTTTTAAAGCGTCATAACAGTGTTGATAAAAAGAGCTAAAATTATCGTTTATTATAATGGACAGAATGACGCAAACTTGAGAACTTTGAGCAATAAAAATAGCACATGAGCGTCTACATCTTAAAACTAGTATTTAGAAGAGGAGAAAGAACCTTACATTCCCTCTAATATTTTGTAAGCATTCCTCATCAAGACCACCCTGGAAAAAATAAAACAAATAGCAGAAGCAGAGGATACCCTGTCGTTAGGAATGGCAATGGTATGCGATGTGGCCTCTGCAAGGTCTTGCTGCGCGTCTTGCCTGAAGACTTAGTGCGATGACCGCACTTTGTTTAGTAATGTGTCCTTCAGGATATGCAGCTGTTATGCAAAGTAAACTGAAAAGAAAAATGAAATAAAAGCGGTTACTTTATCTGCAGCCAAAGGCACAGTTTCCTGAGTGTGTATTAATTTCATAGATTTTATTGATTTTATTTAACAAGATATATTAATTTTTAAGGGAATGTCTCGTACAGAACACCTAATGACGCATCATTCTTGAATTACCTTTTGTCAGGTTACACTGATTAATCATATATAATTAAGATAAAACCACTTTTGCTGATGAAATGGTATATAACTATGCTAAAGAGATTTTGTTGTTGCTATCTGCTTAAGAGAAGGGATGCCTTCGTGCAGGACTTTCTAAGGGAAACTGGCTTGTATACACGTTACACATTGGAGAAAACACGACGAAAATGCCCATACAGCCAGCCCGTTTGCCTGGAATCGAAATCAGGTCGGAACTACCAGTGTTCAGCGGCTTTACCGCTCGGCCACTGGTAAACCAAGCCAGTTTCCTTTAAAACCCTTCACGTAAGCATCCCTCCTCTTAGACATATAGTTGTCATGTGATATTTCTATAATTATTAATTAAATAAAATATGGCAAGCGGAGCAAGTTGCAAACTGGTAGAGGTGCGCTGCGCTATTTACCAATTTTATATATATAAAAGACTGAGTTCAAAAGTAATAGATTTATGTTATATCAGGAAAAAGGTGCTAGTCATATTTATGATGTAATATTAAAAGTGAAAATTTATTTATTTATTTTTAGTCAAAGTTGAAAACCTAAACTTTTTATACAGGAAGTTAAAATTTGTTACTTGATTTTTTTTTTTTTTTAAATACAAAAAATTTCTTCATTTATTATGTAAGAATTATTTTTAACTTTAATTTATGGCATATTTTTGAGGAAGTCGTAAGCTTTTCAGGCGTAATTCTTAATCACGTTATATCAGCTTCCGTTTTAATAGAATGAAATAGGGAAAGATATTTTGTCACTAAAATGAAGACAAGAATGAAGAGTTCAAATAGTTTTAATTCCCGTCCCGGTTCAATTAACATATTTTAAGAGGCTTGATACAATTGCCGAAGTATTGTAATATGGGACCTTCATTCAAGATCTAATTTTTAAATTTTTAGCTAAAGGTATTTTGAAAAATCTCTAAAAAAATAAAGTAAATTTCCGAAGTTTTTGATAAGATATTGCTCCACTTTTCTATGCAATATTTCTGTTTCGCCACCTTTCTATTGTTTATGCAATCATGCATTCTAAATGGAATCTTTAACTTCTTCCCCAAACATGGTCTGCTGTGCTTTGAATTTATTTTATCAATCATTTTGAGGGAGAAGTATGGAACGAAGACAGTTTATTTTTCAATTATTTGCAGTTCACTGATTAATAAATAACCTGAATTACACAATTATGTATAATTTGGAAATCATTATGACACAAGGAGCTCTAGATATATTGTTCGTGTAACGTTTTTCTTATACATTGCATGGTATGAATTATATGCATCAATAGCATCATCCGTTCGACGTTATGTAAAAGCCAAAATTTATTGTAGAAAGCAATGAAAATTTGTAGATACCTTTCATAGTCTTACAGCACTACTATCTTGCACTTTATTTCCTCTAGACTGTTCATATGACAAACTGAAATTTCGCATACTTTATACTAAGGAAGTCGGGTGTTTTAAATTTCAGTTAGATTTTTAGCGATCAAGTGTTGCACTCTCTGATTGTGAATGTTGCCCTTTCGTTTACCAAAGACATATATCCATACTGATATTGCAAACTTTACGAAAGTAGACTGCAGATAAACGATTCAGCAAAGAATCTGAAATTAACAATTGCTACATTTTCCTCGAATCACTATTTATTTAAAAAAAGACAATTTTTCGCAGCATGAGACCGCATAATGTCTTGTGCAGGGCGGTACACATCTAAAACAGATAAACTCTTAACTGCTGAGTAACCTAGCATAACTAATAATTCATTGCATATGCAATATTTACTCCATAAGTCTAATTCGAGTCAATACATTGAGATATTCTTTATAAGCTTGCCATTCAAAAGTTTGGAGAAGTATTTAAGGGTCTTACTTTATGCTTTAGTAAGGAAATTATTTCTAACTAAATATTGAATGTGAAGTATTTTCTTTCCGAGGTACGATATTTCTTTAAATTTGCTAGATAAAGCAACACTTTTATGTAAACTGTTAGAAAAATTACTGATATAATTTTATGTGACACTAATGTAGCGTTAAATTAATCTGGAGTCGTTAATCGGGAAATCCTTTGAAAGGAAATGCTTTGAAAATATGAAGTACGAATGTTTAGAAAAGATCCTTCTTCAAGAAGGATTGATTCATTACGAAATTTCTGGAACCTAAAAACGAACCTTAAAAAATCCCAAGTAATATCGTATTTTAAACGCCCATAACTCATATGGTTCATAATGCCATTAGTGATGACTAAATCAAAGACCTCGGAAGCACACAAACCAACGAGCTTCCACCTCCATGTTTCACTGTTGCCAAGAGAATTCCTTGAATGCATTTCTGTATTTCGCCTCTTGTCCGATACACAAATATCCGCCTCCATACCTTTCGCCTCCTGTCCGATCCAAAAATATTGAATTTACTTTCATCTGAAAAAATAGTTTTCTTGCAGAACTCTGGACTTTTATTGACGTATTTTTTGGCGAAGAATAATCGTCAGTTTCGTAACCTCCAATTTCTCACTCGCAAAGAATTTTCGTCTCGCAACACGGCCATGGAACCCGTGTTTTTTTGCATGTATTTAGAATTGTACTTACTTATACTGCTCTTCCCATGTTTCTCAGTTCTGTTATAAGCTTAGAAGCACTTACTTTCTGATCTCTCTTCAACGAAGTGCCAGAAATCGTTTGTCAACTAATGCAAGTAGATATAATCATCCTGAACGAGCACTATTTTGCACTGTAACTTTTGCACGCAATAAACTTTTGAGTAACCGACTGCAAATTTGAACGTGGTCTGTCAACTAAAACTGAAATTTTAGTTTACCACCTTTACGAAGTTTTAAGATTAATTCTCTTTCGAAACACTCATTTCTTTACCCTTAAGACTCATAATTAAAATTTTACGTTTCTTATCACATTTAATGTTACATCCGGTCATTTTATATAATCCGCCAGATAAATGACATCAGTTATCAATGAAAAACTGGCTAAATTAGAAAATGCTACCAAAATTTTGCATTTGTTTGAATGTTCAAACACGCCAATAAATCCCTAATTTTAATTTCCTGTATATTCAAAAGCTAATTCAATATCTTTTTCGAATTTTTTTTTCACTCGTATTTGGTAAAATGTTTTATTAGTTATTGCTCTTTGAAGAAATTTCGATAGAATTAGCGAGCTAAAACAATAGTTTTTTTCGCGAAACCAATCTTATACGAATAATTTCTACACTCACTGTAATTTACAAAGCGGCTTTTCAATAAAGGAAGTCGTATGATTTGCTTAGTTCGTCTTCCGAGGGGGTGGTGGAGATTTGTATGTTTCAGCTTTTGAGCTAAGTTTATTCAGTTTCAATTGAAATTTATTTAGATGTTTGACTCGGTGAAATAAATGACAACCAGCATTATTTTATTATAACAGAGAAGAAAGTAGCGTTAGCGAAAAATGACGCTGCAGTATACAAATACTAATATACGAATGAAATATGCGACATAATTCTTATAACTCGCATCGAAAACAACTGATAAAATATATATTCTTATACATTTTCGAATTTTAATTATAAAAGCTGGATTCCCCCTTTAAGTGTCTAAGCTGCAAAACACTGGGAGTTCATTTGGGGCTGTGTTACCAATGGCTGATTAGAAAATCCTTCACTGAGATATTACTTCCCATGAGTTGATAGCTCTAGTATGTTTTGCCATAGATGCATTTTGTCACTTTTTATTTGATCTTAAATCGGAAATGATAATTTTCGTAAACCTTTGCTAGGTGCTACTCTGTGGTAAATCTGAGCGTAACACTGAACAACGTTATTAATTTTAATTATATGGCTCAACAGTTTCACCCCAAAATATCAATTCGGCCTTGGAAATTATTATTCAAAGTCAAAGAATTCTTGATTTGAAAACTTATTTAATCCATATAATCACTTTTCTTATTTTCAGGAAAAAATAGCTCAAAATTTAACTAATAAAAATGCGAAAATGTACAAGCCTGTTTTTCTTTGTAAAATTTAATTTCTTTTAACGTATAAAACATGGTACGGTTTTTAGTGACGTAGGTTTTCGCTTAAACTTTCGTAAGATTCTAAAATCTCAGCTATGTCATTACGTGGTCAAAATTATGACACGTGTTGCGTGATAAAAATATCGCAGATAAATGCCATGAAACATTAGTTTAATCATCCTTTCTTTTTTATTTATCATAGCTGAAATTTAAAGTCGCTCTAATCTTGTTAAAATCATTATTATTTTTGTTTTCAACGACACCTGAATTTAATCGAATGTTTCTTTTATTACAGATATGGAAACTGAATGCTTTCCAGCAGTGTCCATGACGTCTGCAACAGGAGAACCAGATTTTCCAGAAAATGTTCTTATCAAACAGGAGCCGGCTTCTCCTCCCCCTGCTACATCGCCTCGCGCTCACAGTTTATCAACAATATCTTCTCTTTTAAATGCACCATCTCCGCCACTTTCCTCTGCATCTTCCATATCTTCTTTGCATCCTCAATCTCTTCTGAAGCAGCCGACCATCGTCCTTGCCGCTCGGCCTTCACCTTTACATTCTGCGTCTTCATCGTCTAGAGACCACCAAATGATGTTCCCTAAAGTCAACGTCAAAGTGGAACCCTCTCTATCGAGTAAGTGTACTCATCCTCTACCTACAAAGATTCACTGACATCATATATAAATTTATCGATATGATTTAGAACTAGATTATGATTAATTAGATAATCAGTTACTATATAGCAAAATGCTTATAATGATGTGATGTTATCCGTATAACGGCTCAAGTTATGTTCAATGTTCATGTAGAAAAGCTTTCAGACTTTGACGATAAAGGCAGAGGCTCCGAAGCAGACTCATTATCGCCTAGCCCACAGTGCACACGCACCTAAGGACATCATTAGGAGAGCCAGAAAACCACCTTATATATAATCAATCGTAATTATTTCCCCCCTATAACCAATCTGGGAATTTGGGGCTCCTCAACGACGTTGTCCATAGGCTCTCAGATTGACTTAATTGGCCTTGCTTGGGATTCACTCGAATATCGTAACATCTAGACCTCCCAAACTGACGGGGTTATGCTACAGTAGAGTAGGAACGTGATTCCTTAACTGCAGGGATGTCATTTATACGGATAATATTTTGCCGCGAAATATGCTGAGAATGTCTTTGCCAGTTGAATGTTTACCAAACTGGACAGCATACCCTGAACAGTATATTTACAAACACTCACTGTAGTGTTGGATAAGCAACACACCATCAAAAGCTTTGAGTTGATTTGTTTCACTTTATCGCACAGTTGACTATCAACATCTGTCTGGCAGGCCTAGAGACGTTTAGTTATCCAAGTGTCTTCAGATGCTCTTTTTGGGAATATACCTCTGCCATTCCAAAACTGAGTAAGTAGGCGATGAGCGAGACACGTTTAATGAAACCTTAACACGTGTGCAAAATTTTAAACAAACATTCTGTTCATCGCATTTGACAGAAATGCAATTAAATATGGCAGAAATCCCTCTATAATCGTTCTTGTATAAATGGCAGTTTCCATTTGCTGCTTTTAAAATTTCGCGTTTTTACTGAATAATCAAATCTTTTTTTGATCAATCAAATCTTGTAATCGATTTAGATCCGATAGCATGCAACTAGAGAGTATTGCGAGTTAGTTTACTTTTAAATGTTGCTTTGTGATAATTAGGAAATGTTGTATAACTTTGCAATTGACTCTTTTTTTTTTTTTTTTTTTTTCTATTTCACTTCATTATAGATTGAGATTTATATATATATTATATTTACTAAAGAAATATTGATTATATTATCTCCTAATATAAATTTAGTAGAAGTATGATATATATTGCTAGAGGGCACTATTATCACTGTAGTCAATCGAACGCGCCCGTTCTGTTAGACTTTAAGAAGTTCACAACAATTCTCTTCAGAAACGTTTCCTTCTGAAAATAGATTTTTTATTCTCTTTTCTTTTAAAAGAAGTTATCGAATATATGTCCCCCCCCTTTCAGATAAAAATGAAAGGTCTGTCTTATTTTTTAAGGTAGTTGTGTTCTTTTGTCTCTCTATTTTTCTCAGTGACCCCCCCTTGGAAAGCTACTTGTCATCATCATAATGTTTAACAAGATCAAGGGAGGGAGGCATCGCTGGTCTACATTTTCTAATATATAATACTTCAGTATACATTTTACCCTCAAAATGTTTTTTAATGCTCCAAAAAGCGTTAAAAAAAGATTTGATTATTCAGTAAAAACGCGAAATTTTAAAAGCAGCAAATGGAAACTGCCATTTATCCTGGATTAAGCAGTCGCTATTTTAAATGGATTGTTGCTAAATGCGGCGTTATTTGTAGTCCAAGCGATTTTTCTCGAACATTCGGATTAAAAGATTTTGCATGGACAAGTTTATAAAATCTCAAAGAAATTCGGAATTTTAATTTACCCCATCGAATGGATGGAACGTTGCTGGCTGAAAAACGGGTTGGTTTAGTCTGTGCCCATAAACAGCGAACGCAAATGTGAAGATGCCAACGAAACAAATAAATGAAAAACTCTCAGTGTTTAAAATAGATGAATGTGAACTATTTTTCAGTACGCTCTGTGATAAAACATATGCACCACTTCCACAAAAGTTCTAATCGGGCATTTATTTTCGTAGACATATACTTCCGGTTACAAAAATGATTTAAATGATGCAAACATTCATTTAGTATTTTGAAATTTAAAGAAATCAATTATATGTAAAATGCGAAATCTAAATTTTACACCTTCCTTCTGTCAATATACTTAAGAAAATCTTCTATGACCAAAAATTGACCAAGGTATATAATGAGGTGATATTTGACGTCATTTTGAATTTGCATTAAAGGGTCGGTAAATAAATAAATTAAGACAATTTGAGGTTCACTTTTTTCCCACTTAAATGCCATTCCATGATATTCTTTTGTGATTTACTAGTGTCTTTATTTATAATGTTGTTGCATTCGTAATGCCGAAAGAATTTTCACACAAGTAATTTGTAAATTTTAAAATTCTGTATACTTTTTCATGAAATTTTTTGAATGAAATTTTATTTATTAAAATTCACTTTCATGAATATCAGTTTACGATCATAAAGCCGATAAAAGTAAAAAATTAATTAAAATACAAATTTTTAATTAAGGCAAATAATGTTACGAGTTGGCTATGTGCCAAAACTTCAGCCTCCCAGTATATTCTAGAATACGAATTCTATAAGATATCCTTTTCGAGGGGGGGGAATTATGCTCATCAATATTTTTCACAATAATCTGCATACAAATGCTCGGCACGTAACCTCTTAAGATGAAATCTTTTCCTAAGCAATATCTTATTTTTAGTTATGCACAGATGCAAACGTTTCGCTCGTCAGCTTGTGTACGATCCCTGAATATGATTCTCGATTAACAAATATCACGGTCAGATTTTGTTGTACAAGAGTCAAACGTTTGGTGTTTTATTTTTTATAAAGAGTGCGAAATTTTCCTAAACACAAGTGTACAGTCCGGAGGAACGTATAAAAAATTAGATTTTCTGACTTTTTGATAAAACTGATCTACGACCCACCACTGCGACTCTAAACGTATACGGACGTCTAAGAATATGCTGCATATAAAAGGTAAAAATGCATGGTGGAAAGTCTAGCTAGATTTTTCAAAATTTTTGTTAAAGAGCAACATAAATGGCACAGAAAAATTGCCTTTATTGATGGTAGAAAAGTCCCCAAAGAAAGAAAAATCTATTAATATTTCAAGTGTTGAAACATTACTGCGTAATTATAAATTAAAAAAGAAAGCGGTAATGACAATAAATTTTATGAAGAATATTAAGTTAAACGGAACAAAAAATTTTAAAAAGAACGCAAAAAGTTTGCTCTTTTATGGATAGTTTTGCAGTACTTTCAAAGCCTCCCTTTGAAAACGTGAAAATCATTTTCTTGCCACTAATTCTGTTTCCCGGTTACATGTCATAGATTAAAAAATCATCAGCTAGTTTAAGTGGTATTTTCCCAAATGTTTTTGCAACAAAATAAAAACCCGTGAAAAAACATTCAAGCTTAATATGTTAGAGGCTGTGCATTTTGCGGTGGATGCATGGGAATCGATTACGTCAAATGTCATCTCAAACTTATTTATAAAGCTGGATTTTCTGCTGCCGATTGAAGGGGAATACGACCTTGACGTTTAAGAAACTGACTGAAAACCATTACAAAATCGAATGAGTTTCAGTTCAGTTCTACCAAGTTAATAAATGTGGACAATGGCGTTATGTCGTGCGAAATTTTATTACTGGAAGATGAATGTCGTCAAGATATCGAAAATTTGAAAGTGAAAGCGAAATTAAAGAACCAGGAAATATCCCTTCTTATGTAGAGAAAATAAACACTATAAAAATATTTCGCCATTTCATAGAAATCAAAGAAAATTTTAAGACATCTGGAATGCTATCATTACCAATTTATTGAAAAGAGGAGGAAACAGTTAGCTATGCATAATTTTTACAATAGGAGTTATTGAATAAAAGTTTTAAATAATGAAAAATTTGATGAAAAACTTGCTAAAAATATATAAAAATTGCCGGTAGGCAGTTCCATTTTGCATATTTAAATAACATTTAAGAAATAAATTTTAATATAGTTTAGTTGAAAGTAATTTAATAATTAAAATTTAAAACGGTAATTTAATAGAAAATGAAATGTTATATTAATTTATTTAAATTCAATTAAAAAAGAAAATAAGTGGATTTTAATTTCAGAGCATTGGTTATAAGATTAATATTGCAGTAGTAAGCTGTTTTGTGAATGATTACAGTTTTGGAAAAATGTTCCCATTTGAATTTTTTTTATTTGGGCCTTTTCAGACTTTTTTAAACGGGCTCTGCTGTTTGTGTGTATGCATATTTACAATATATATACTGCAGTTTAACTTAGTTTTCCTTAGGCAGAAAGGAAATAGTTGTCACATACGAATTTTTTGAAGTAGATAAAACATCTGCTAAAAAAAATGGAAGAAATGTCTTTCGGCAACAGATACCTATTGCCTTCAAAATGATTCTGTGTTTTGGCGTAGCAGTTTTCTTAAATTTCAGCCTTTACGATAAGTGTTGCTATAATTTGTTTGTATTGCATATCCTATTATCAACTTTCAAGAAAAGTCATTATGGTCAGCGTTAACCCTTTTGCTGTCTAGTGCCTTCCTAAATTATATAGATTTTGTTGCTCGATGCAGCACTTGCGCCGACTGTGGTGCGATCCTCGTGCTCATAGTGACCCTGGTGGACTCATAGACCCTGGTGTGTTTTATCTTACATCAGTCTTCAGAGGTACTGAAAAATTAATCTAAGCTTTCTAGCATATTGCCATTGAAAAGGTACTTGATTTAAGTTAAAAAGTTAACATTCGCATTTAACTCTATTAAGATGAAAAAAAAAATCCTTAAATTTTTTAACTTATTTTAAGTAATCTTCCACAATTAATTTAGGTTTGTTTGAACATTTTACTATCTTGTATGCAGAGTAAGAGGGGGTATCTCCCTTTTTGTACTCTTTTTATCAGTGTTTCTCTTAAATATGTATAAAATATCTCTAATTTCTCCTATGACTGTTATTTGCAGCAAGCGGTTTTCCACTTCCACCCACACCACCTTCCTGTAATGGTAGCGATTCTGATGGGAGTTTGTCTCCTGTTCATGGAGGCTCCTCTCACCTCCCTTCATCACCCCCAGCTCTTCTCTGCTCTTCACCACCTTCAACTTCATCGACATCAACGACCCAGTCCACCGGACATGTGGGACGCAAGTCCCATGCCAAGGTTGTTTTGCCCATAACATCAACAACGTCCAAGCATTCTAGCAACAGCCAAGCAGCTCTCATCAGCAGTCAGCCAGTGAGTTTGAAGCAAATTTGCTTGCAAATTTTAGAAACATATACTACTGTTCTTGTTATATTGGATATTTAGCGAATTCGATGATCTTGAGAAAGCGAATTAAAATACATATTTATTTACTTATGCAAGTTTTTCTTTTTTAAATTTTAGAAAGGAGCAACTGGAGTTTTGCTTCTTACCGATGAAGAAAAAAGAACTTTGCTCGCCGAAGGCTATCCCATTCCTCAACGGTTACCACTCACAAAAGCTGAAGAGCGGTCATTGAAGAAGATAAGGAGAAAAATTAAAAATAAGGTTATAACGCATGTAACTTTTATTTTCCTTTCTAAATAAACTCAAAACAGAGTATTCTTTTACTATGGAAACAAATCAAAATGCGGAAGTAAAATTTTAAATAGTACTTTATTTTCTGTAAAACTATTGTTTTGGAGGATGTATGCATTGAAAAAAAAAATCTCAAAAGAACTAAAATATAATTAATTTTTATTTCTGAGCTTCAATATTTAACACACAAAGTCTTGGTATGTAATTTAAGCATTTAGTATTGAAACTAATGCTGTAGTCAAAGAATTATTTACTATTTGCTTTGAATTAAGATATGCTTTCTTTTTAAATTCTTTAATGCCATCAAATAATATTAAAGTTTATATGAACCAATAAGCAGTTTTTTATCAGCATGCAAATTTTGAATTTAGAATTTTTGTACCTAGATATCTGCTCAGGAAAGTAGAAGAAAGAAAAAGGAATATATGGATGCCCTAGAAAAAAAGTAAGCACAAGGTTTCTGCTAGATATACATTTTTTACGGCATTTTTAGATAGTTTTCTGCCTAGGGTTATAGCAGAAGCTTAATTTTTAAGATACAGCTTTGGTAAATCTAGTATTTTCCCGATTTACTTTTTTGTTTACATTTTGGATTTTTCAATATTTCTTCTAGAGTCGAAATCCTCTCTAGTGAAAACAACGAATATAAAAAGAAATTAGATTCATTGGAAGGGAGCAATAAGTAAGATATGCTAAATTTAATGCTTGTAAATTTGGTTAATATAATATTTTTGCTGTATAAGTTTCTTTAGTTTTTAATCACTTTTGAAATATTAAAGAACATATTTAAATTTCTTACAGGTCTCTTTTATCTCAATTACAACATTTGCAAGCCATTTTGAGTGATATGCCCAGCAAAAGGAGTCGTAATGTGGGCACACAAACATTTCCTAGTTCATCAGTATGTACATATTATTCATAATTATTATTTATTAAAAACTTTGGCAGAATTTATATTTAGAAAATAATTATTGTCTACATAAAATTACTAAAAAATACTTTAGAATGCCCTTAAATTAATCGGTAAGGAAGGTCTATACTGAAGCCACATTATTCTAAGTTTCTTACATGTGAGATCAATGATCCTGATTAATTTGGACAGACCTTCCCTAAAGACTGTCGGTTATTCCTGCCCTCCGAGGTTAATTCTTTTTAAGTAAGGCTATGGCAATCCGGAGGTACTCTAGCCCTTCAAGGGATAGTTTACTTGATAAGACGAGCTTCACAATCCCAGAGCCTTGGTGATCTTTCCATTTTCCCTTTCCCCTTCCTCATAGCTTTTATTTTTTCCCTTAAGGTTTTCCTCTTCAGAGGCTGGGCTTTGTCATGAGAAGTTGTTCCATCTCTTGTCTCTAGGCTGGAATGTCGAGAAAACTGTCTACTCGTTAACTGTACATGCAGACCAGTAAGGCTGGAAAGGAGGGTTCTGGTAGTTGAAGGGCGAGATACTCTCTCTCTCTCTCTCTCCAACACACTGCTTTGGCCTCTGCTTCAGCTAAAGGGGAAGCATCTAGTAGTTCTCCTGACTGGTGTCAATCTGCTGGTCTCCTGAATTAGTGTGGGTGGCTTGGTAATAAGCAATCGGAATTTCCTGTGTTCGGGAAAGCTGAGTGCATAGAGCTTCTGTAACCGTAACACTAGGATTTATCTGAGCTAATGAAGACGTCTGGTACTGCTCTATGACGTCATGAAAACCACTTTTTTAATTCAAAAATTAAACCTTCACGTATAGGGGAGCTAGACAACTAGTATAGAGGAGACTATCCCTGCTCTATCGACGGAAATTAATTTCGACCAGTATGATACCCATCTCCAAATTTAATCCGACCGCAAAGGGTTAATTAATATATGAAAGTTAAAATTTTACCAAATGGAATGTTTGAAAATATTACTTGGCTCTATTGTGAGCCATTTGAAAATTAAATTTTTAAAGCCCTCCTTAAGTACTGAAATAACCACAGATTTTTTTTTTTTTTTTTTTTTCAATTATGGGCTTTATTTTATGAAATGTCGTAACTGTGTAGGTATATGTTTGAAAACATTAACACTGTGCATTTGCATTATGCATATGAATATTTATATGAGAAAGCTATCAAAGAATTATATTAATATATTTTGAACTTTATAGTCTTCAAGGCAGAATGATTCCAGTACATCTGAGATGTCAACAGAAGTTGTAGAAGTTATTGATGGTAAGTAAAACTTGTATAAAAAGAAATCAAAATGCAAGTAACTACAGCTGTTAGTTTTTAACCATGTTAAGTGCCAAGCCCGTTTTGTTTTTTTTTTTTTTCGTTTACCCACAATAACCAATTTTGTCCACATGCTGGTAGCCCAAGATCTGTATAAAATTTAATAGAAGAATGTGATTTTTTACATAGTATATCATCAGTTAATATTGACTGATGCTGCCAAGCTGAAAAGTATACTGTCAGCCGTCAGTGACTGACATGATGCTTAACGTGTTAGGAAGTTATATGTGAACCTGAAATATCTTCTTATTTCATTTCTATAAAATTAAAAACTATTAGGAGAAAGAATGTTTGTGGCCATATTAGTTAAATAATTCAAAAAGTTATTTTACTTGCATTACAGACTTTTTAATCATCTGGAGCCATGTGTTTCAAATGCTCCTGAAATTTCACAAGAAATGTTCTTTTTAAATATGTAGTATCTTTACTGATATTTTTTAAAAAATGGCATAAAATTATAATACAATTTTGTCTAACACTGGTACATGAAAATGCTTTAAAAATATAATGCAGTGAAAATGCAAGTTCTGAAACTTTTAGCATGAATTTTAAACAAACTTTGTACACTGTAATAAGCAGGATCTTAGCATGTGACCGAAAAGAAATAGCAAAATTAGAAAATTTATGTTATGAAATGGATGTTGAATAAGAATAAATATTATATTATCTCCAGAGTATTCGACATAATTTCACCTAGGTGAACTTATTGACCACTAAATATAGCAAATTCTTCTTCCAGCTGTTATCATCTGAACATCTTAATATTATGACCCTGTCTGGATTAGATACATCTATGAATAAAATCGGGTACGAAGTCTTGTATGCAATCCCGCACAGCTTTTGTGGAACTAAAAAAAAATATTTTACCTGTAGAAATGCTTGCTAAAAGTATTTCTCGAGCATTTGAAAATTAGTACTGAGTTACACACGCCATCCATATTTGCATATTCTGTACATCATTCTTTAAAGATAAGAACAAACAAACAATAAAAATGACAAAAAAAAAAAAAAAAAAAAACTCAGCATCTTTTTAGAAAGAGTTTAAACCAGGTTAAACCTTTCTGTAAATATGGTTCTGTTAATCTAGTCTTAATTACTTGAGGTAAAGAATGTAGCATCTGCCAGTGGAAAAAGATGCTTTCATGAAGATGCTATTTCAAAAAGATACTTTTTTTTATGGGAAACTAACCCATATTTATAAATATTAGTGGACTCATTGTAACTGCATCAATAGTTAAAAACATTGCAAGATGGTTTGAACATACCCTCCCTTTCTCAAAGTTTTTAAATAATCTGTAGGCTCTGTAGCTCAAACCTGCACACACTGCTCACGTTTTGTCAGTGAGATGCTGTTAATTTCAGCTTGTTCTTATAAGTTCTTCAGTTTGAAATATCTAAACTGTTCATAATTTTAAGCATGGTTGATTGTTTTGCAGCTTGAAGATGTCTATTTCCTAGTCTCAGCTTAAATAACTGTTACTTCAGGGAGGTTTTAGATGCATTAGTCATATAATTTATTCAGATATTACTGATAAGATATAATACATTTTTCATACCATGATTTCCGTTTTACTTGCCAGTCAATATATTTTTTAGAAATATTTAGAGAAAATCAAATTTATGCATTACAAGTATTGTCTGTGCATCAAAATAAAATAAAGATTCTGTGTCTATATTTTACATGCTTTGAGTACTTAACTAATTCTTCTGGTAGTTCATGTAATTCATTAATATGTGGGTATGTTCAGAACCCTTAAAAACGTTTTATATAAATTGTAAATTGCATGCCTATATATTTAGATGGAATGTCTTGATTTTTTTCCTATTTTTTTAGCCAAAGGAAGGTAGCAACATTGCCCTGAGGAAGTTCACATACATTCCGGTAAGTGTTTAGAAATGATTTAAACAAAGGTTGAATGTAAATCAAACTATTAGTTTTGTAATTTATTACTTCCCAGCATTCATGTCTTTTTCAAAATATAGTATTCTGACATTATTCAAAATATAGTTTATTGATATTAAGTCATTAACCCTATCACTAATTTTAATATCTTCTTTTTAAAATCAATGAGTTATTTTTAATGAGGAGCATAAGCTCAAAAAGAAACTTGAGAAGTATTACTAATGTTTAAATGCAGCCATGTATAAAATTCATTGGTATACTTATTGGTTATCCCGTCTAACATTTTTGTCTAGATCATTTTTTGGCTCGAACGTATATTTTGGCGACAAAACATCATCAGTAACATTTGAGTAAAACTTATCTGCTTCTTATTAATAATATTTTTGTCTAAAAAAAGGACTATCCCCACATGACAGTCATTTGCATTTTTCCACTGATCAGTATAACAATTTCACTTGCTAATTTTTTCAAATTTCAGCAGCTGAAAAATTAATATTATGAGCAACAGCTTAAAAAATTCGCCGTGGACGGCTAGCTGGTGATAAACGGTCAAGGGTTACCAAAATCTCGTTACTAATGCTTTGCTGCCGAATTGTTGGCAGCAAAATATTATTGCCAAGAAAATGTGAGCTCGGATAACCGATAAGTACCAGTTCTTTAAAGTTAAGGTTATGTAGAATAAAATGCTTGTCAGTTGTGGAAATTCTTGAATTAGTAATAATGTTTGTAAAATATTTGATATGGCTGGTGCTAGGCATTTTTCTGCTGAGCGCAATTTTTGCGAGTCCTAAACACTACTGCTCAGGGCCTCCCTAAACTCTATAAATTTGGCCTACCTTAAATTTTCTTTCTCAATACTTTTCTAAATTCAAATAATTTTTCTGCTCCTTAATTCTGCTGCCCATAATATCATGTTTATAAAGTTCAGAACAAATAATGTTGTGCAGAAGTAGATTAACCTTTAAGCAAAATAAGCATATACTAGGGCACCAAGGAAAGGGGGCACCACAGAAATGTCTTAGGTATTCAGGATAAGGGGCTCTACAAAATTTCTTACTGCTACTTTAAACATGAAATGTATGGTGCTAAACAAAGAGTAAGAGAAGAAGCATGAAGGAAAAAAAAAGGTGTAAATACAAGTGAGGGCACTGAAATTTTTAAAGTGTTTCCTCTTAACCCCTTCTCGCCGACTGTCATGTATACGTGCCAGCAACGAACACACTTTTCTACCGGCCGACACGCAGGCATGCCAGAGGATTGTTCCGTTCTCTACCGACTGTCACGTATTTGTGCCAGTACTTTAAAACGTTTTTCAAACTATAATTTCTGCCACAAGATGGCACTGTATGTCCATATGGTTTCAGATACATGTAAATTAGACCTTCTACTCGAAATGAGAGAAGCATGACTCACATACACGTGTTTTTGATTATATAAACAAACGGGAAAATAAATGTTTCCGAATGGCGTGATTTATGACGTCTCTTTAAATCGCACTTTATTTGCACGTGGTATTGTTGTTTACTGTAAGTAGAGAAGTTTTATTTGCTCTAAAAGCGTTGGGTATTTCGGTTTGCAGTTCAGTTTTAAGAAAATAATTAGATCTTGTTAGACGTGAATTCTTTGTTTTTTACCGTTGCAATGTCGAAGCATTGAAAATGTTTAACAGAGCATGAAATAGCAGAATGATGCAAAATATTTCAGATATTGATTCTGAAATTCTGATATTCTGATATTGATTCTGAAAGATTAACTGAAAGACATTTTCCAAAACTTTGTTCAGAAGAGACTGATAAGAAAATGAAGACGACGATGCTTCGTTTGTTCACATTCCCGGAAAAATCCTCCAAAACGGCAAATGAGTTATTACGAGTGCAAGGAATGTAACGTAGGACTGTGTGTAGATCTCTGTTTTCAAATTTTTTCATACGAAAAGAGAATTTTAAGTAATATATTTAATTTTCAGATGTATAATGTTTAAAATTCATAAATGGTGAGTAATTAAAATAAAATGTGTAAAAATGCATTTAAACAAGAAATAAGGTAATTAAAGTATATATAAAAATATCTATAAAGCATAAGCCGTTTAAATACTCTATAGAGCATTATTAAACAATGTGTTGATACTTCGGAAATTTCATGGATTTGTTGAAAATTTCATGAATTATTATATTAGTACCTGTGTGAAATATATAGTTAAGAAAATGTATTCTGCAGCTACCTTCCTCTTAACCGCCTGCATAATCATATTCTTCACATTATTATTACATTAACTTACAACTGTTTCCTCCCCAAAATTTATTTGCCCTTTAACAACTTATTAAGGTTTTCAGATTCAGTGAAATAGTATTTTGAGTTTCATTTTTACTTCCTTGTCCGAAGTAAAGGAAATATAATTGCGAAGAATTTCCGGTGTTATATTTCAACCGAAATACCCATTTTCCCTAATCCACTGGAACGATTTCTTTTGCATGACATCAGTATGTACAGTCAGAATGAAGGACTTTTCCAAAACAGATTGTAAAATGGATTCAAAATTGATTTTTTTCAAGTTCTTCTCCTTGTATATTTATTACACACACACACCCACACACCCACATGCTTACTCGTCTTAAAAAGTCCTTCCCCAGCTTTTATTTTTGCAATCGTTGGTCATAATCACATTATTCCACTTTCAGAAGTGTTTTATTATGATGAAAATATTCATGTTGGGGCAATACCAAATTTAAAATAAATTTTCAACAAACAACAAAATCTACCTTTTAATGCTGTCTCCTGGTTCCTATACTTATGTCTCGAAAAGTTTCATATTTGTTATGAAAAAAATGAGTAGTTATAAGTTTGACTACAGTGCAACAAAAATTAACCTGGATATTTAATTTCAAACTTTGCAATTTTTGATGTCATTTTCAACTTACTGTGAGCAATCCGTTAATTAAGTTAAAATAGTTCAAGAAAAATGTAAATGAAGTGCAGCAAAAAGTGTGTATAATTTAATAGGTTGTACAATGATGTTGTGGTGCCAACATTAGATATTTAAATAAATAAAAAAACTTTGTGTATTTCTTTTTACATAAAAGTTTCAAACTGAGTAAATTTTGTAACTAAGGTCTTGATACTTAATTCTCATTCTTGCATTGCTTTTTAGGAAAATGGAGTGTTCTGAAGCATAGCCAGTCCTCCATGCTTATGAATAAGTGGATTGCTGTCCTTTTCTGATAATTTTTGTCTCCTGTATCATCCACTACAGCCAGAGCCTGCTTTTTCTTTCACCTGTTCTCCCATCTTTAAATTTATGAGAAAAATGTATTTTGTCTCATTGTACCTAATGCATTTGTGTGGACAAGGCTTCAGAAACAGAACTCTGCTGACTATTCTAACTTGTCGCCAAATTCTTTTAAGAGTGTTGTTTCTTAGTTAAGTAATGTAATGTATTTTTGATAAATTCATTCAGTAACATACTGAAGTGGCTTTTTTGCCTTCATCAGTGCATTTGTGTTTTAAAACCAATTCTGTTCTATTGAAAAATAGTAAACATGTTGGTTTATTTCGTTACATTTCAGACTAACGCAGTCGGTTTTTATAATGCAGAAAAATTTAAATAACTTCATTATTAATTTTTACAGTGTATGAAATAATATTTTACAAATGATCAATATTTCAGGATTAACTCAGTTTAATTATTTAAAGCATAATGTTGAACTGTTGGATAAAATTCAGTTTCATATGAATAAATTTTGTGAAACGTGAAAAACCATTAAGAATTTTTGAATATTGAATTTTCAGTTAGAATACTAGCTGCTAGAATTTGATTATTTGTCAAAAGTTAAATATAATTTTCATTAGTTAAAATCACTAAATTTTTAAGTTTAATAGCCAGGTTTGTACAGAAAGTAATATTCTTATACACAACTTTTTAAAGATGGATGGATATTTAGATATTTTAATAACAGAAACTCAACTAGAATAATAATTTTGTGTGCATATATTTACAAGTGAATCAAGTGGTAACAAGATAAATGTTTTAATAAATGAGCTGATAAAGAGACTAATTGAATTTTAGCATAATAGCAAGTTTCTTTAAATTCCAGTTCAGTAAAGGAATAAAACTGAATGTGGAAAAGGAAAAGGCTGTAATTTATATTTAATAAATTAGATTGGTAGAAGTTTAAATGTGACAATATTACTAACTTATAATAGTAATTTCAACAGCATGTTAAACTACTACAGCATCTCTTAATAAAGTTATGTAGTTTTCACAACATTCACTACAAAACTGTATTTTTGCTTTAATATTTACGTGATGTGAATCTAAAACATTACATATTTTAAAGCATGACGAATTAATTGATGATGTCTAAAAACTTTAATAACCAAAGGGAGATATATTAATTTTTAGTCGTTTTAGAGTTTCTAGTAAATTATATAGTATGTTATATAAAGTGTTTTATTTGCACTGAATTATTGCAATCGGGGTTGTGATATAAAGTAATCTTCATAAATTAACTATCTTTTTGCTGATATTGAAGTAGTTAGATGGAGTGCCAAACTCATCCTGTCAGATACTTCTAAAACTTCATGGACTTCTTATCATTTGCATACTGTCAAAATTTTATTTTTAACACAGCTTTCTAACTTCATATAAAGTTCAAAGAACATATCTACACATTTTTGAAAAATTTCCAACAGACCTTCAGTTCAGATTTCAAAATTGAATATTCTAACAGTATTAAAATTTTAAACAGTATTCATACTACATAAAATTAATTTTTAAAACCACTAACTAGCATTTCTCTTATACCACATGGGAAAATTCAAAATATGTCTAATTTTAATTTTTTGAACATAAGTGCATTCATGTTAATTTCATGATATTAAGTTATTGAAAAAACAATCCTAAGCAAGGTACAAAAATTTGTATAACTCCATTGTAAAAATGTCTGGAAGTGTAACATATCAGCCTCTCCCTTAAAAGTAAAAGATTAATGCATTTTTGCTTTATGTAATTGCTGTACTTTTACATTGGTTATCTTTTAATAATAAAGATAAAAGCTAGTTTACAAAATGTTTTTCTTTATCATTATATAATTTGAAATGTGTTTTTGAATTCAGTCTTTGTGCATTGTACATATCATACTATAAACATATTTTCCATTTGTATGACCAATTTCACTGCGTTTGAAGAAAAGTACTTATGTTTGTAAAATGGCCGTGCCTTAATATGGCCCATATTTACTGAGCAACTAGTCTATATGCACTAATTTTTATATATATGTTAGCTTAATGGTAAGGGTTGACGTGTTATTTACTGGGTCGATATTTCTAGGTCGTAATTTATGTGCAATGTTTTTCTTAATGTAGCTTCTTGTAATTATGAGAGAACTATACACATTTACTTTGATGAACATTTTCTCTGAGCTCTGGCTTCAAAAGAAGTGTTGATTGCATTAATAGCATTATAATACTCTATATCCTTTTTATAGGAAATAAATACTATTTGAAGCATTTATTTGGCTTATTAATATTGAAGTATCTTGTATCATATTTAATTAAATCGATAATTTTTTAAAATCGGGTACTATATCTAATATATACTAAGATCAACACTTCAGAGGATCCTGAGAGAGAAAAAAATATTTTTGACACTAGTTCCATCTCCTAAAGTTTTATTTTTGGGCAATATATTTAAATGTTGAAAAATTGTCACTGTCCTTTTTGTGACATGTTATATTTAAATGATATATGTAATATAAAAAAGATAGATAAATATCTGTGTTTTAAATTCATTCTATACTCATTGGTCATTAAAGAATATCTTTTTTTCATTTCATATGGAACATATATTATCTACATTGTTATATATATTTTAAGTTCCTGATATTCAGCACACAATGAAAGATATTCATTAGTGTTCTAGAGAAAGTTTATGGTGATTCACTTAAATTATAAACATGTTATTTAATCTTTTGTTAGAATGCATAGTATTTATGAGTATTACTGAGACAGTTAGAAACTTTAAATTAGGATAATGTGAAATCTGTGACGGAATTTCGTGGGATTTTTATTTATTGGAATTAATTGTTGAAAGTGAATGCATCCCTGATCATTCTCTGGACACTTGATGGTGTAGATATTTTATTTATTGGTTGTAAATTCAGATTTATTGTTCATGAGTTTCACTAATTTATTGCTATAGTTTCCATATGAGAAGTATATCCATGAGAAGAAAAACGTTTCGGTTCTCAGTGATTCAGAATTGGAAATGTAAAATTTATGTTGTTAATGAAATTTTATATTTTATAAAATATATAATTTAAAAGTAATTATAAAAATGGAGAGCATATTGATTTTCTTTTGAGATATAAATATTACTGTGACATTCGTCTTTGGTATGCTTCTGTACAAATGTTTTGTAAAATAAAGTAAAATAATGTAGCTATTGGTGCTGATATTATCGTATAAATAAAAATAAATGCTTGAAATAAGGGAATTTGCTTTCTTCTTTCTCTTATGAAATTGTCTGCGAGATTAAATATTAATATATAAATAAATGTTTTTGCAGCTTTATGTTGGTTATGGGTATTTTTATTGCTTTCGTGTAATATATTATTCCACCTTAAATCCAATAAAATTTCTTAAAATCACATGGAATATTTTTAAACAAGAGAAGCCTAACTTCTCTAGCTTTTTAAACAAGAGAAGCTCTATTAAAACTGTAAGTTGAGCATATTTCATACGCATTGATCATAAAATTATTTTTTGATGGGAAACTAATATTTAATTTTTGTATTTGCAAAGAAAATTGTAATATTTGTATGCTGCCTCCTGAAACTCTAATATAACATGTTATTAGTATTAGGAGCAGTGTGATGGGATTCATAAAATAAATAATTTTTTTCTGAGATTCCATTATAATTTTGCAAACTAGAATAATTCGAAACTCTGACGTCTGTGTTCTGGTATTTCTATATTAATCTGTTAAATAAGCATTTGTTCAAATAAGTTAATTTATAACATCGTGTTGATGCACTTCAAAACATCCATAATTTTTTTAAGCATAGTTGTTTTTAAAATTACTTTATCATAATACTACGATCAATTTTCAACATAATTAAATATGTGCAATCTGAGATTTTGTAATTAAACAATACTTTAGCAGAAGTAAATTTTCCCAAGACTGGATCTATACAATCTGTGTAGACCAAGAGAGAAATCCAGATGTTCCAAATGGCTCTGCACGGTAAACAAGAGACGGAAGAAAATGTACTTATGCACGGCATAATACCGTAATTTCTCGCATTTTATGCCCTATTTTTTTAACTAATTTTATCTTGCGAAAATCGTGAGGAGAAAATTATGCGAGTAATTTAATTTGCGAAGAACATGGTTACAGGAATATAAATGAGAAGTAATCATCGATAAGCTAGGGGAAGTATTACAATATTATTTTTCAAAAGAAACCTACATTCCAATAAGAATCCATAGTAGTCCGGCTCACTTACCTTGTAAAGGCCCAGGGGCATCTCACAAAAATGAGTCTTGACCGCAGTTTCAAAAAGGGACACTGAAGGAACGAAGGAGAAGGTAGGCGAACAAAAAACCCGGATTTCAAATGATCAATCACATCAGCAGTAGAGATAAGTATAATGAGCTGGAATGTCAATAACAGAAATAAACTGAAATCACCTGTTTGAAAAACTTCTGGAGGGCGAGAACACTTGCCACCTGTTTGAGGTAGCTTAACAAAGAATCTGCTCCAAATACGTTTCAAATAATAAATGCAAGGGAAAATAAAATGTGTGAAGTGCTAATACAAAAATGCAAATTGAATACATTGAATAAAAATAGAGAGAATGCGATTTACCAATAAACTAGCCTCGAGAGGGGAAATCTTATACGGAATAGTTAATTGAAAATAGGACATGGGGTATCAAAATGATAGCGGTTTAAGAGTCTGAGCTTAACCTTTAACTACTGTGACTTAACTTTTAACTGCTGTGAGCGGTCTGTCAGACCGCGCGACATTTTCTATTAAATGCTTCCACCTCTTAGAATAAATAATGGGTACTGCCATTCTTAGTACCTTCCTAAAACAGTTGTCCAAGGTCACATACCATGTTGCGTTTGGCTAGCTCTATTTCTTTTATTTTTTTTTTTAATTTCCCCCACTCAGCGGTCTGTGGGACCGATCACAGCAGATACGATTCAAATTTCGGCCGATAAAGTTAATTTTTCGTTGTTACATATTTCACTTCTTTATAAATATTCTTGAAATTGCTTCAAATGCGTGCAAGAAACGTTCTATATATCTTACCCAAGACCAATTTTAATAAATAGTTCGAAATTGGTCTAATTTAGAGTTCTCTGATGAAAGTTCCCATGATGAAATTATTGAGAGCGACCACGACACAAATTCAGAAATATATGCCGATGGAAATGAAAATCCATGTTCTTCTGCAAGAGATTTTTTATTGTAAAAAATGAATTCAAATAGTCTATTCAAGTGCCCAACAAGGGTGTTTGAACTCGTAGTCACAATATTATTCTTCGTTCAATCTATACAATTGCTCGTAGAACCCGACGTTGGCCTATGGCAGTATTCTTCACAAGCATGGATATATACTGGTGTGCAAAAAGTTAAGGACGAAGTCGAAAAATTAGCATATCAGCTGAACGAAGAGGCAGAGCTGACAGAAAGACTAATTAGGAGATTAAGTAAGGTGATGTACGGTAGCACATGCGCAGATATGCAGGTAGACGTAATGGGGGAGTGTCTGAGTAGTATAAAGCATGTTGTCGGTGTAAGATCAGTATTTCTGGCAAAGAGATTGCACGCCGTATAGCAGTTAAAATCACACCGAGTTGCTGCCTCAGCGAGAAATGGCGAATAATCAATTTGTTAGACGACATCTGGATGCTTTTACCCGAGGTCGAATCATTGGGAAGTTGGAGGAAGGCCGCAGTGTGACAAGTGTGGCTGCAGAGTTCGGAATTGCTCACAGCATCGTTTCACGACTTTGGAGACAATTTCAAACTACAGGAACAGCTATCCGGGGGGTTAGTAGTGGTCGTCCACGAGGAACCACACCCGCAGATGACCAGTATATTGCCTTACAGGCCAGAAGAAACAGACGGCAGACAGCGGGAGAAATCGCTAGACACACGACGCAGGCGACTAGACGACCGATATCGCGTTTTACCGTGGCCAGAAGACTGCACGGTGGTGGTATGTTTGCACGACGCCCTGTACGGTGTGTACCTCTAACGCCTGCCCATCGGAGAAGGCGTTCTCTGTGGTACCGGGAACACCGGAATTGGAGAGACAATGAATGGATACGAGTACTCTTTACAGATGAGTGCAGATTCAGTCTGAGTAGCGATTCTCATCGCATACTCATCTGGAGAGAGCGGGGAAGCCGCAATCATCCCTCGGACATCATTGAAAGGGAAAGGTATGGAGGTGGCTGTTCTCGTTTGGGGAGGCATCATGCTTGGTAGTTATACAAACCTTCACATCTTCGACGCAGGTTCATTCAACGGGACCCGTTATTGTAACGAGATTCTTCTTCCATATGTGCGTCTTTTTAGAGGCGCTATGTGTCCGCAGTTCCTTTTCATGGACGACAATGCACCATGTCATCGCACAGTAGCTGCCGAACAGCTCTTAGAGAGTGAGGATCTTGAACGTATGGATTGGCCGGCATGATCTCCAGATCTCAATCCCATCGAGCATGTATGGGATTTTCTAGGCAGACGCTTGGCAGCTCGTACCTTACCACCAGTAACGATTCCGGAGCTTCGATTGGCGCTGCAAGACGAATGGGCAGCAATGCCTCAACAACTCATTGACACCCTCATTCTCAGCATGGGCAGACGCTGTGAAACTTGCCTAGCAGTCAGGGGAGATCATATCCCCTATTAAAGACCGGATGTTTCTTGCTGGACACCCATCACAGGGATGTTTCGGCCTTCAGTCGCATGCTACTTTTTCAATAAAGCTCCATGCTACTTTTTCAATAAAGCTTCTTTTTATCCCTCTGATTTCTCTTTTAGTAAGTGTTGCTTACATTACTCATGTCCTTACGGTATTAATGTATTAAATGTCCTTACGGTATTGGGGATCTTACGATATTAAATGTGTTGATTTGGAAAGCTTTTGTACAAAGTTATATTGAAAAAAACCGTCTCGTCCTTAATTTTTGCACACCAGTGTATGTGCAATGAATGCATTCGTATTAATTGAATCTTATACCATTGGCTCCGAAAATGAAGTGAAAAGATTTCACTAGCAATTCAGTTGGTGCAGTCTCATGTAAAACGGAGGATAACTTCATCATTTTTACCTAAAGAACTCAAACTTACAATAAGAAGAGTTTTCGGAATTAGTGATGATAAAGGAAACATTGCGATCGAAGACGATAAATTAGATAAAAAAAAAAAAAAAGAAGAGAACGTGCTATATTTGTTCACCGAGCCCCCCCAAAAAAAAAAAAAAAAAAAAAAAAAAAAAAAAAAAAAAGGAAAACAGCTTACAAATGTATAGAATGCAAAGATTCAGTGTGTCTACAATGCAGTAGAAAAGTATGTATAAAATGCAGCTCGAATTACAATTTTTAAAGTAAAAATTAATTTTCTATATTCTTATTAAAGCATTCTTATCGCAAATTTTAATGTAAAATAAAAATGTTGAATTTTAAAATTTACTTCTTCCATCCAGACACGTAAGCGAAGGAATTATTATCAGGTGAGAGGTTTACAAATAAATAGCAACAATAACAACTGAGAGGTTTACATATATTTTATTCTAATGAACTGATTTAAGCATAAAAATTGCTTTATATCTTCATGAAAATGTTAAATATATGAAATTAAATAACATTTATTCAAATAAGAAAAGTAAAACAATATCTTATTTTGTTTTTAGCAGAAGCTGTCTGACAGACCACTTACAGTAGTTATGCGACAATTTAAATTGCGCTGAAGTCCGGCTTCAGTATGTTTCAGTTTTTGAGATGAATCGCAATACTAGCCAGAGCGTAATGGAGCCCTAAATATGAAAGGCTCTGGCACTTCTTTCAAAAATCTGAACCACAATTTCAACACAATATTCTTGTGATCTCGTAAAATTTAATGAATTAACCTCAAAAATCGATTCTAACTTCTGATGCATGCCTTTGCAGATAGGTTGAAACATTTGAGGAAAGAAATGATCCTATCCACATATCAAAACCTTTTTCTCCAGGAAGTGTAGTGAATTTAATGATAGTTTGAGAAAACATAAATGTTTCGATCCAGAAAATATTGTTGCGTGCGTACGGGTTCGTTATGAAATGAATGCACAAGTCCGATGAAAAATGAGCAAAATTTATTATTATCACAACAAAAATGCTTAAATTTCCTCGGATATTCGTGCAGTATTACAATATCTCACAGTAGTTATCTTTTAACTACTCAAACGTTCAAAAGAACTCAATTCAAAACAGCTAAAGAAAGCTAATCCGCGAATTCGCTACAGTCAACAAGAGCAGTTTTCTAAACAAACTCTTAAAGTAACAACAAATAAATAG